AAATAAGTAGAATATCCACTTCCAGAGGGAGTGAATGACCATGTAGGTTATTTACATAGTTCAGTAACAATGTGTCCCTTTTCTCACCAGAATATCACTGGCTATGCTAACGATTCCATTAATTAGGTATGATAAGCCCGTCTTACGGAACAAAGACTCCATTTTATATGTGGGAGTGACACCTCTGAAGCCCTCCCAGGAAAACTTGTCTGCTACAGGTGCATGACTTAATGAAATTCTGGCCTTACAGGCACTAAAGAATTTCATTTCCTGGCAAGCCAAGAATATTAACAAATATGGGAATTTTAGAGAAAATAGTTTGGATAAGGATGATAAAAATTCTTCTGAGACATGAAAATAAAAGCCTCCACACACAAATTAACTGTAAAGCCTTAATATCACACAGCTCTAGTTTTGTTAACCACAGAAAAAGGAGGAATTTCTATAGATTAATATCTACGCTTATATATATTAATCAACAGCTCTTGTTATGCCTATGTAAACAAACTGGTGAAGTCAAACAAAATATCAGTTTAACAACGTTGAATCAGAAAATCATTAGGAAGCTTATGTGGGCAAATCCAAGCCTCAATGGCAGGAAAAATGGAAAAGTAAAAACTGATACCCTGCTCTGCTTCCAGCATGACTAAGTGCCGCTAGGGTGGGGGACACTTTGCATCTGGAGACAAACCAAAAATAGCAGGGTCATCTGACTGATTCTGGTCCCCAAAATAACAAATCTCAACTAATTCCCATCGGAACAGACTCCCTGACAAAAACAATCTCATCCCTGTTTTTCATTCTTCTGATGAGTGAAGGCAGTTGGTGAATATGATGGACGTGTGAGAAAGCTGTTGACTTGGATGAATATGGTTGTCATCGTTGTTGTTAGTTGCCACTGACTCGATTCTGACTCACAGCGACCCTCCATGTGCACAGTAGAACTACTCCATAGGATTTTCAAGGCTGTGACCCTTCAGAAGCCAGTCAGCAGACCTGTCTTCTGAGGTGCCTCTGGGTGGGTTCAAACCGTCAACCTTTTGGCTAGTAGTAGCGAGCATAGCCATTTACACCACTCAGGGACTCCTAGGAACACGGTGACCTTGGTCTTTTCTTTCCCTCCCTTTAAGCACTTGTTGTGTTTTGTATTTGGTGAGCCAGTCTTTCTGACGTCTGACTCCCTTGCAACTTTTCTTGTCCAAATGCTTCTGCCTCTGAGTCTGTTTTGACAGTATCTGCTATGTGCCAACACCATGCCTGGGCTGAGGATTTGGAAATGAACATGAACTCCTGCCTGGCAGAAGTTCACTGTCGCTGTGGTGTGGGGGAAGAAGCCTGTCTATAAAAAGATAACTTCTCCCTCAAATACTTGAAGTACATTAACACATTACCTCCACCTCTGTTTACTCTGGCCAAAGGAAGGAATTTCTAAAACAACCCCAGAGGTTCTGGGAACTTGTCATTTGAAAGGTGGCTCTGTCCACCCACAGGCTCGTGATCCAGCCTCATCTCTCCGGGCCTAGGCTACTGGACCATGAAGCCTCTCCCACCCTAGGCCTTTGCTATTTGCCCTGCCTCATTCACTCCTTTGCAGGGCTAACACCTACCATTCCTTCCCAGCCAGTATCAGTTGTTGTCACATTGATTCCAACTCATGGTGACCCAATGTGAGTCAGAGTAGACTGTGTGCTCCACAGGATTTTCAATAGCTGATTTTTCTGAAGTAGATCACCAGGACTTTCTTCCAAGGCAACTCTGGATGTACTCAAACAGCCAACTTTTTGGTTAGCAGCCAAGTGGTTAACCGTTTGCACCACCCAGGGATTCCTCCTTCCTTCCCATCTCAGCTTAAACATCATGTCTTAAAGAAGCCTTCCCTGACCACTCACACCCTGTTATAAACTCTCATAACACTTGGAATTTCATTGTTGAACTTCTCACAGGTGTAATAAATTATTTATGTAATTCTTTGTTTAATGCCCATCTTCTATGCCAGACTGTAGACGCCATGACGATGAGAACTGGCTCTGTTTCACTCCCCTTTCTGTCCTATCACCTACCACAGTGCACAGGAACTAGTAAGTGCTCCATAAGCATCTGTTGAATGAGTAAATGAATGGCCAGTATCTCATGGGGACTTAGAAAGATTGAAGCAGGACAATTAAGTCAGGATTCCTGTCACTTCTGTGGTACCTCTTGAGTCGGTTATTCACAGAATGGCAAGAACTATGAAATGAGATGAAATTTTTCAGGACACCAGGCTCCAAATTCAATACATAAGAGTTTGAAGTTATGTACCATTTTGAGATCATTTATTCATTTATTCAATGGGTACTTTACTAAGCACCTACTATGTGTCAGACACAAAGATGAATAAAATTGGCCTAGTCCTTGCCTTTATTGAGTTTACAGTCTAGTGAGGGAAGCAGATTTTGATAAAACATCCACATTCCCAAGAAAATGTAAAATTATACCTGAGTCAGGTGTTAAGAAAGGTACACAGTACTCTGACAGGCACAGTAGGGGATTTTCCCTCATCAGGGAGTCTGCCTTTTCTGTGGAAGAGGTGCCTGCCTGAGCTATGATCTGAAGGATGAGTAGTAATAAACTGGCCAAAAAGGGGCAGTGTTGGGAGACAATGCTCCATGGGTCTCTTGCATTTCTGTAGGTCTTATGAACAGAGACACTGACTGCCCTTGTTCTAGACTACCTTTTCAGTGATGTGTGTACAGCACACAGCCTTGGAAGATAGAGATAATGTTTCCCTCTGGAGCAAACAACAGGTTTGTTTACTGTCTGGGATAATAAAGATAATGTCTCCCTCCAGGGCAAAGAAGAGGGAGGCTTACTGCTCAATATAAAAGATTTGGATTCCTTAAACGCAGGATTCCTCTGCCGTGATGCAACCATTGGTGTGCAGCATCCACCTGGGATGCTCCAAAAGGACCCTTGTGGGACTTGGGGGCCAAGGGGAACTGATGAGAACACGAAGCTCATGTTGCATGCTATGCCGTGAGGAATAAAAGTCCTTTATATCTGACCTAGGAGTCTTGTGTCTTCTCCCAGCATCCAGGAAACTGTGGCTGACTATCTCATTAGCTGCAAGTAGGGTAAAATCTCAGACTCTTCATAGTTACTGACAGGCAAGTAGATGACACATACAAAGACTCTGTGGTGGAGAGAGTATAGCAAGTATAAGGATCTGAAAGAAGGCGTGCATGACTGGAGTGTAGGGAGTAGGGGGGACATGGCGTGAGATAAGGCTGGGAGGCAGTGAGCTGTGGGATCCTTGGCCAATCCTGCTGAGGCCTAGGAGGTATCTTGGCCATTTGTTGTGACAATGCTGCTGTCATGTAAGAACATGTGGAACTAATAAACTGAGCTGGGGGAGTGCAGGACAGCAAGGTTTGGGCCAGACTGAGCCTATGAGATAATTTTAACAAAGGAAGAGAATGAAAATGGGTGATTTCTTAACATCCTGAACACTGTTATGAAAATTTTTGCTATTTTGTAATACCTCTATTAGAGATTAGCTGAAGTCCACCTCTCAGTGCCCCAAATGAACAAGGAAAAATTATCACTGGCTGTCATCCCTGTCAATCATCTTGGGTACAAAAGGAGGCAGTCACCTTAGAAGGGAGAAGTGGCGACTCTTTAATATTCACAGAGCATGACTCTGGATAAACAGCTTTTTATCCACTCCTCTTACAACGAACTGGAGGGCTGTTCCACTTTTGGAGGAAGAGAGGCCGAGGAAGAGAAGGAGAGAGGAAAGAGACCTCACCAAGAGAGGGCTTCGAAGCCAGTGTGAATAACATATGCTTATTACCCAATATTATCATAAAAATAAAAGGACTTTGTTGAGAAGTCCTCTGACCCATTCTGGCTCTTAGAATTCTGACCGTTTCACTCACTGCCTGTTAATTAATTTATAACATGCAAAGAATGGAATTGTCCTGGATCTTTGGCCAAAAATGTATCACAAACAAGGACCAAGCCATAGAGGGCCTTAAGAAGTTGTGTTCTCATCCCAAGAATGATGAGAAGGCATTGAAGGATTTGAAGAAGGTGAGGGCATTAGAAGGGTTCAAAGCCTCACTGCAGAGGACTAGAGATTCTCTGTGTCACTATTTCTCAAGGGAAATCAACAGACGGCAGCACTTACTCAGCATTTACCTCAGGCCTTGCAGCAGAGCCTCCTCATTCTTCAAACAAGAGGCCTCAGAGCTCTTTGGGGGAAATTCCCACTCCTCTCCTGGCTTTTCCCTTAAATACCCAGCACATAAAAGGAGGGACGTGGATCTGAAAGGAGGCCCGCAGCTCAGGGCTCTTTGCTTTCCTCCCCACAAGGCCCTCTTGCCCTTACCTAGACTCTCAACCAGGCTGTGGAAGACGGCCTGGAGACAGAGAGTTTGAGGGGAGGCTAGGTCAGGCAGGGTGACGCTGGGCTGGGGAGAAAAAGAACAGCCTTGTTCAGGGCACTGAGGGTTTCATAACTCGATTATGCCGCTTTTCAACCTGGACTGAGGGCTGGAGATGCAGAAGTCGTGGCTGCCAGGGAGGCCGGGAAAACTGTGGGCGAGGAAAGCAAGGGTAGGGGGTGAAGCCCTTGGAAATGAGGCTGAGCCACATACCCCAGGAAGCCCCAGATTCTGGCGCTGAAGGCTACTCTGCTGGGAGGTGCCTCCTGAAGACTTGCACCCAATTTCAAAACTCCAGAATGTCTCAATCCTCCTTTGTGGCCCAAAGTGCCCCGCCCCCTCCACTCCTCAGTCTCACAGTTCCTTAATTGACACAAAGCTCAGATCTGGTAAACAGAATGGTTTCGGGTTCGGGGGAGTGGAGTGGGACGGGTATAAAAAGGAAGTTGGAGGTCTGGGGACAAGGCCCTGTCAGGCAGCTGAGCACCAGGAGCCCGGGGAAGTGCAGGAAGAGGCCACCTGCTCTGCTGCCGCCGGAATGTGGCTGAGGGTGGCTCAGACAGGTCTCTGGGCTGGCCCAGATGGATTGGGGCTGTGATGTTCAGGCTGAAGGGTCCAGGTGGCCCACAGAGCCACTGGAGGGTGGTGCCTGGCCTCCCACCTGCTTGGTGGGGGGATAAGAGGCAGAGGCAGTAGCGATGTGGGGCGGGGTAGGGCACTTTTCCCCTGGTGCAAGTCCAAGGGGGCACCAGACAAGGTGCCACAAACATGAAAGGCATCTGACTGAAGCAGTCAGACAAGAGAGGGGAAGGCATCTATTCATCTTGAAGTTGGGAGATTGCCCCTGGGTGCTTGTTACCCTCTTTATGCCCCTGATAAGAGGAAGATACAGTGGGGGGAGGGACAGAGCCTGGGGAGGGACTGGGGAGGGACTGGGGAGGGAGGAGGCTGCTGTCAACCTTTGATTGCCTAGGGGATTGAGGGGGAAGAAGGGCAGGGTGCACTGGTAGGTGGTCTGACCTTGGATTTCCCTGCAGGCTTTGCAGTCCTGGTGCTGCTCCAGTGCTGTGAGTAACCTGTAACCTGCTTTTAAGTCATGAGAGGTGGGAGTGGGGTAGAGGTCTTGGCACTTCCAGTTCTTTCTGTGATTCAAATGGTTCATAGAGACTAACATTTGTTAAACCAAGGTGGTGGGTATATGAATGATTTTTATACTATTCTCTACTTTTCTGTATATTTGAAATTTTTTTTTTAAATAAAAAAATTTTAAAGGCTCAGGTTCAGTAATGGCCCTGGTAGGAACACTACCACAAGTCCAGGAGCCACGTGGATGATTGCCGCTCCCTGTTCTTCCTCTGGAGCCCTGGTGGCACAGTGGTTAAGAGCTCGGTTGCTAATCAAAACATCGGCAGTTCGAATCCACCAGCAGCTCCTTGGAAACCCTATGGGACAGTTCTATTCTGTCTTATAGGGTCGCTATGTGTCGAAATCGACTCAACAGCAATGGGCTTGGTTTGGTTTTGGTTCTTTCTCTATAACCAAGAGGCAGAAGGAGCTTAATTTGCTACAGGAGTCATTAAAGTCAGAGAAGAAGAAGAACTTCCTCGTCTATTGTGATATTATGCCCCAGCTTACCCATCGCTGGGCAGTGGGTTACGAGTTAGGAGCACTAAGGAGATGGGCCAGAGCCTCTTGGATCAACAACCCCACTGCAAGTCCTACAAGGCTGTCCCCTGAGGGCCAGGCCATCTTCCAACACTGGCTGCCTTGCCTGAGTCCCTCCTTTCCCTCAAAGCCACTGCCTCTGGGAAGCCTTCTCTACTGGCATGGAGTCACCTCTATTTCACCTTTATTCATCAGCCCCCACCCTCACCCCACACAGCACCCTGTTCTTAGTCTGCAGTGGATTCATCCACTCCATTTGATCTTTTCTAAGCATCTTTGGAGTGTGCCTGATTTTCTTCAGACTGGGAACTCCCCAGAGGCAGGAGTGCTTGAGCCAGTCCCTTTCATTTAGAATTCTGTCTTCACTCCCAAATCTGCCCCCTACCCACACCCCCTTGAAGTTTAGCCCACCTCTCAGTCTGAGGGTCCCTGGCTGAATCCTAGCCCAGGCCCCACCTCAGACTTCTCCCTCAGGCTCCGCCTACAAGTTGGTCTGCTACTATACCAGCTGGTCCCAGTACCGGAAGGGCGATGCGAGCTGCTTCCCAGACAACATTGACCCCTTTCTCTGCACCCACGTCATCTACAGCTTTGCCAACATAAGCAACAATGAGATCGATACCTGGGAGTGGAATGATGTGACGCTCTATGACACGCTGAACTCACTCAAGAACAGGTTGGACAAGTGGCTGGCAGGACAGGAAGGGATAGAGGGTTAGCCGGGCTAGCCGCAGGGTGGGGCAGTTCTGCCCACGAGGATGGGTAAGGGCCCACTGCACCACCTCTGGGTGGAGAACTGGAAGGGCTTGGGCTTCTATGGAGGGGGTGATGAGGGTGGCATTGGCAAGTGTTTGGGGTGCTGACAGAGGCAGACTCTAGAAGAAGACAGGGGCTGAGCTTTCCTGGGAGGTGGGGGGCCCTCTTCTTCCCCAAGGGAGCCTCTACAGAGAGCATGGAGACTGCTCAACACTCTGTTCTGCCATCCCTAGCTTTCCACTAAGGAGAGTGAGAAAGGGCAGCATGCCTCAGAGTAACTGCCACAGTCTATAACCTCTTAGAATCACTGCATCTCAGAGCTAGAAGGACCTCAGAGACCTAATCCAGCCTCCCACCCCGAGCTAGAAACCTGCTATGACCTCCCAGACATGGGGCCACCAAGTGTCACAACAGCTTCGCCCCACTACTACCCTCCCCTCCTCTGTACCTCGCAGGAACCCCAACCTGAAGACCCTGCTGTCTATTGGAGGATGGAGCTTTGGCTCTCAGAGGTAGGACCCACTTCCCAGGGCAGGACTACAGAGGTTGATGGTCTACTTCACCCACTGTATGGGGGCACAGAGGACCCAGATTGGTTGGGCACAGAGGCCTAAATGGTTGTCAGGGGCCTTGGGCCTCAGGTACAGCCAAGGAACCAGAGCCCAGAGAGGGATAGGGACTTGCCAAGAATCATACAGCAAGTCGACAGTGGATCTCCTGGTCCCCTGACAGCGGTCTTTTTACTACTCCTCACACCTGAGAACAAAGAACAGCTGGGGGCTACTGCCACAGGGGCTGGAAGGAGAGGGATGGAAATGACTGGGAAGATTTGGGGGTGTAGAGATGCTGGGAGGACTTCCAGCAGTGGGTAGAGTTGGAGCAAGGCTTGAAAAGGGAGTGGGATATGACCATGACAGCTTCCGTTTATTGAGTGCTTACTAGGTATGTGTCAGGCACCCTTTCCAGCCATTATCCCATGTAATTGTCACAACAGCACTGTGAGGTATTATAATCATCCTCATTTTACATAAGGAGCCCTGGTGGCTCAGTGGTTAAGAGTTCAGCTGCTAACCAAAAGGTCTGCAGTTCAGATCCACCAGCTGTTCTTTGGAAACCCTACGGGGCAGCCCTACTCTGTCCTATAGGGTCTCTATAAGTCAGAATCCACTCAATGGCAACGGGTTTGGTTTTGGTTTATTTTACACATGGGAAAACTGAGACTGAGGTTATAACATTACCAAAGTGGTTTAGTGAGTGATAGAGCCAGGCTTGGAAACCACAAATGTCTGGCTCCAAAGCCCATGTTCTTTCTAAGATGCCGTGGGTGGGTCCTGTCTCACCATGCCCTCCTAGAGCTGGGCAGACTCAGGCTCCTGACCCCCAGGCCTCGGAAAGGTTGCCAGGGGGCCAAGGCCCCAGCTTATTGGTGTTAAGCACACTACGGGGTGATTTCGGTCCTAGATTTTCCAAAATAGCCTCCAACACCCAGTACCGCAGGACTTTCATCAAGTCGGTGCCTCCATTTCTGCGGACCCACGGCTTTGACGGGCTGGACCTGGCCTGGATCTACCCTGGACGGAGAGACAAGGAGCATTTCACCACCCTGGTCAAGGTGCTGGTTCAGTGGGGAGTGGAGGGAGGGAAGAGGTGGGCAGGCATCGGGGGTGGGGTGGGTTAGAAGTTGTCTTCAGCTGATGGCCTCCTGAGGAGAGGCAAAGAGGGACCAGGAACAAGACAAGCTGCCCCAGGACCTTACACGGCAAGGAAGACATCTGTGACTCTGGTGGGAGCTGGGCTGAGATCCTAAGAGGCAGAAGGTGATGACTGTCCATTTAGTGGTGCATCATTGTCCACTGCTCAGTGCCATACTGATGCCTTCAAGGCCCGGCATGCGCTGCATCCAGGGACATTCAGCCCCATCTAGGGGCAGCCCAGGCCTCTTCAGTTAACCCAGGGGCAGAGGAATAGTCTAAGCAAATTGCCCACAATACCAACTATAAGTCACTTTCATTTTGTGATTTCACGTGCCAGCATGAACAAAGCATGCTCATGAGGTGTGGCTGGGGTATGGGGGAGGAGATAGGCCCAAATAGTTTTTGGGAAAAGGATGGGTGACCTTGAAGGTGGGACCACTAATGGGCCACCTTATTATTCCACTGAGCCCCAGAGAGGTTGGGGATCACAGCAAATGGGGAAAGCCAATGAGGTGCCCCAGACCTCAGCCTCCATCCACAAGTCTCGCTTTCACATGGTCTGGGTCAGGGGGACCTGGCCCTCTTTACTCACCTGCCTGTCTCCCATCCAGGAAATGAAGGCTGAGTTTGCAAGGGAAGCCCAGTCGGGAAGACAGAAGCTCCTGCTCAGTGCAGCAGTGTCCACGGGGAAGGTCACCCTTGACAGTGGCTACGACATTCCCCAGATATCCCAGTGAGTCTGCCTCAGGCACCCCCAGCAGCGTTCTGCACACACCTTCTCTCCCCTGCCCTGCCCTAGAACTCCATGTAGACAGAGTCAGGACACTGGACTTCTAGTCCCAGTGCTTCCAGAAGCTCAGTGTGTGACCTTGAGCAAGTCACTTCCCCACTCTGGGCCTCAGGTTCCCCATCTGTCAAGCACAGGATAATAATCTCTTCCCTGCCTTTTCCACTTGGGGTTCTCTGTTGACCAGCTGAGAAAGTTGTTATAAATATGTTTTAGAAAAGGAAGTAGGAAAAGCTATACAAGCCAGCCTACCACCAGTGGGCATTTTCTCCATGCCTGGTCCAGCAGAGTGCTAGACTCTGGAAAGGGAGCACAGCAGTAATAGTACCTCTCACTTCTGGGATACTGGGGCATCCCAAGGTGCTTTCACACACAGGCAACCCCTCCCAGTTCAGCCACCCCTCCTCACCCTGCCCCCGTGCATGTGCGTGTGAGTGGTCAACAGCCAAGCCACCAGCCTGTCACTGGAACAAAGGCATGGATGGATCTTGGGAAACCCAGAAATAAGGAACAAATGCCCTTCAATTTGACCTTAGAATCTCCTGTAGGGTCTTAGGAAGGTATAGACTCAGTGCGTAACTTGACCATTTAAAGGGTGGAAACACGTTGCTCTCAACCATTTGCTCCAAACATCCAAAGCTCATATATACAAAATCCACCTACAGCCCACAGTTCCCATGACTTACCAGTATGGATGTGGAAAATGTCTGCCCCACTCCACTGTATCCTTGGGTTCAGGTTAACCTTTGGCACCTGTCGATGCTACTTTCAATCTGCTTTTACCAAGGCACCAGTGGAGGGAGGACAGCGAGGTGGAGTCCCACACCCAAATGTGTGCTGGAGGCATAAAGGGAGAACCTTGTTCTTGCATTAAATGCATTTGTGGGACCTTGAGCCCACACCCTGATGTGGTACAGAGGAGGAGGCCCAATAGCTAGGACAACAGACAACAACAGAAAACCCTGGGATTTGGGGGTTCATGGCTTTTCTCTCAGTTGCCTGCCTGTCCTACTTCACATCCCACTGGGATGGTAGAGTGGAGGCCATGAGCAGTTCTAACTTCCTACCTTGCCCTTCCTTCATCCTCTTCTTCCACAGACACCTGGATTTCATCACTCTCATGACCTACCAGTTTCATGGGGCCTGGCGTCAGACCACAGGACATCACAGCCCCCTGTTCAAAGGCCAGAAGGACGCAAGTTCTGACCGATTCAACAATGTTGTGAGTGCCTGGAAGGGGCGAGAGCTAGGAGGAGGTCCACGAGACCTACCTTGTTCACACACCACCCATCTACTCCTCAGTACAATCCTGCAAGGGAGGGGTTATGAGGCCCACTCAGAGATGGCCCACTCAGAAACTGAGGCCCAAAGTCTGTGCATTCTCCATGGCTCCCCCAGTAAAGGAGGTTATACCTCCATAAAGGACCAGGACATCTCCTGACGGGTATGCAGGGTGGAGAGAGTGAAGGCAGGGGGCAGAGTAGAGAAAGTGGGGGCTGAGGAGGCTGGAGGCTAAGGAGGCAGGCATCTAGTCTTGACCTGCCATTCACTTACTGTGTAACCAGAGCAAATCACCTATTTCTGCCTCTGTCAAATAGTAAGAAGCCCTTTCTATACCTAATAGCGGTGGTGGTTCAGTGGTAGAATTCTCATCTTCCATGTGGGAGACCTGGGTTCAATTCCTGGCCAGTGCACCTCAAGCACAGCCACCGTCTGTCTATCAATGGAGGCTTGTGTGTTGTTTTTATGCTGAACAAGTTTCAGTGGCGCTTCCAGACTAAGACACACCAGGAAAAAAGACCTGGAGATCTACTTCTGAAAATCAGCCATTGAAAACCCTATGGACCACAATGAGTCGGGGGCCAACTCCCCAGCAGCTAACAACAATAACATACCTAATAGGATTTTTTTGGAGAATGAAACCATAAAATGCATTTTAAAGTGACATTATTGGTACCTGGAGGGAAGGGAAACCCCAGATTTACCATATACCTGTAACTTCACCTTTCAAGGCAGGAGGATTAATTGTACAACCTTCTGCATCCACATACCACCAGCCCAGCTAACTAGTCTCTCTGGTACTGTTCCCTCCTATTCCCACCCAGGACTACGCTGTGGGGTACATGTTGAGGCTGAGGGCCCCAGCCAATAAGCTGGTAATGGGCATCCCCACCTTCGGGAAGAGCTTCACCCTGGCCTCCTCTGAGGCAGGGGTTGGAGCACCAATCTCAGGGCCAGGAACAGCAGGCCCCTTCACCAGGGAGGAAGGCATTCTCGCCTACTATGAGGTAATGGGGTTGGGGGAGGAGGTAAGTTTCCCAAGCACCACAGCAGCCCTAGGGAAGGTAATCCTCCCATCCCCACTTTAGCTCCTTTGGGAATAAACAATGTCCCCACTGACCTAGCACCCTGAAGAAGAGGAAGGGGCAGACCTTTTGCTGTTAACGGTCTCCCGCAGACACTCCAGTTTCCAAAACCACCCTAGAGAGAAGCTTCAGGGATAACCCCTCTGGCCACTGCGCTGGGATCTTCCCTCTGGCCGAGGAGACAGCAGTAGCCAAGGGCAGGCCCGTTTGCTTCAGTGCAGCCTCTGCTGCTTTGGTTGTACGTTCACTGCGGGCCAGTCCTCAGCGTCAGCTCACCATTTCCCATACTCATTTAAGATGGAGGAAGCTCTGGGCTATAGCAGTCAAGGAGAACTTTCTTGGACATTTGCATCTGTTTTACATAAATTTGCATAAAGCCTACAGTCTTTGGGGCAGATGAGGCCCCTGCAGCACTGGAAGAGAGAGGCTGCAGGAGGAAGCCAGGGGCTGGGCGAGATCTGAGTCTCTCCCCTGGGACCTGCAGTCTCAGCACAACACCTTAACACTACCCCTGGCCTGTTCTCTGCATAGGTCTGTGACTTCCTCCGCGAAGCCACAGTCCACAGACTCCTTGGCCAGCAGGTCCCCTACGCCACCAAGGGCAACCAGTGGGTGGGGTACGATGACAAGGAAAGTGTCAAAAGCAAGGTAGGTTTCCCCAACGCCACGTCCCAGAAGAAAAGGAGGGAGAGGGAAGCTCTGTCCCAAGCAGCCAGATTTGGGCCCCCTTGCACTCAGGGAAGAGACCCGGTGGCGCAGTGGTTAATGCTCTGCTGCAAACCAGAAGATTGGCAGTTCGAATCCACCAGCCACTCTCTGGGAGAAAGATGTAGCAGTCTGCGTCTGTAAAGACTACAACCTTGGAAACCCTATGGGACAGTTCTACCCTGTCCTATAGGGTCAGAATTGACTCCACGGCACCGAGAGCAGGGGGTCTTGTGGGTCTCAGGTGCCTGCTGTTCCCTCCCCTGGGGAGGGGCCCACAGAGAGCCGCCCCCCGCCCCTGGTAACCCAACACTGCCCCATCTGGGCCTCCCCTGCCAGGTGCAGTACCTGAGGAACAGGCAGCTGGCAGGTGCCATGGTGTGGGCCCTGGACTTGGATGACTTCCGGGGCTCCTTCTGTGGCCAGAATCAGCGCTTCCCACTCACGAGCACCATCAAGGATGCGCTCCTTGCGGCTTAGACTCCCTTCCCCGTCCTTCTGCTGCCCCTTCCCTCTGCACACAGTGGGGCCAGCGATGCCACACCCCTTGATGGCAGCTGGCCAGGAGCCTGATCACTGTCCTGTTGAGTCTCAGGCTGAGCCACAGCTCCGAGATTTGGGCTCAGCTCTGGGGAACAAGGAGGTAGGGTGGGGCTATGGCACAGCAAGGGCCTCAGGGCCAGCACGGTAAGACACAGGATCAGCACACACTTGCTGATTAATGAAAATGCTTACTGACCCCAAGCCCGGCACGAGGGGATTTCTTCAACTCCCTTACCGCAGCCTACTTGCCAAAAGATACCATCTGTAGCTCTACCTCAAGTAGCCAGACATCTTACAAGAAGCTGGGCCCATACTAATTATACTCTATGCAAAGCCCAATTTGAAACCTTTCCCCAAGAACACAGTCATGTCTCCCATCCCACTTCCCTTTCCTAATTCTGCAGCTGCTCAATAAAATACAAAAGATTAACAGTGTGCGGCACTTGCTTCAGTCCATCTTTGTGGCCTCCCTGGACTTACTGGACTCACCTCCCCCCATCTCTTCTGGATCCCTCTCTCTGAGGCATGGTGGCCTAAGCTGGCAGAGGGTGAAGCCACCATGTCTCTATGGGGCCCAAGTAGGCCCAGTCGGAGGCCAGAACCCTCCACCTCATCTACCTTGGAATTAACTCAAGAGAGCTGGTGGCCTTCCAGATCTTAAAGTCATTGTCATCAGCTTCTTAATTAAGTTCCTTGTTGAAAGAAAACTTTTCTGCTCCTGAAGTCCAGCAGGTGGTGGGAAGGAAGCCCTTTAACCCCATCTCTTCATCTCCTCTGTTCCCCGGAAGGTGGTAGAAGCCAACCACAGGGCCAGCTTAGAAAGCCCAGAACCCTGGACTCTTTCAGGGCCAGAAGGAAAGTAGAAGTCATCTCGAGCGCCCTCGCTCCCTCCCAGGGCTGAAGTCTCTGCAGGGCACTTGAGAGACACTCCCAGTGCCAGGAGTCCTCGGGTGGTGCAAATGGTTAAGTGCTCGACTACTAGTCAAAAAGTCAGCAGTTCAAATCCACCCAGAGGCCCTCGGAAGACAGGCCTGGCAATCTCCTTCCAAAAGGCCAGGACCTTGAAAACCCTATGTAGTATAGTTCTACTCCGACACACATGGCGTCACCATGAGTCAAAATCGACTCGACAGTAGCTAACAAAAACCCAATGCCAGGCAGCTCTCTAGCTTACCATTGCTGGGCTGAAAAAGACCAGCAGTCTCAGCACGGCCCTCTGGAGGGACATAGGCCACTCATCCCTCACTCCTGTAACAGTCCCTGCAGAGGCCAAGGCACCTCTGCTCAGGTGGCCTGAGACATGAAGTGGGGGTGAGGGGATGGGGCAGGATGGGCATGAAGACCAATCTGTCTCCCAGCCCTTGTGATTGGAGGTCCTCTCACCAGTGAACTCCTGCGCTCCTGGATACATCTTGATCCAAAGAGAGTCTAGGCATTCGCTCTAAAACCAAAGAGCACTTCCTTCTGGGTTCCCCGGTGTTTGGGTGATCTGTGACTTGGAATAATCACAAGTTGGCCTGATGGGTCATGATACTGGTTTGAGGTGTAGGTGAGGTGGTGGATCTGAAATCTGAACCAGCTGGAGCTGGCCAGAGGCAACCGATCCCAAGGTCACAGGCGAAGAAAGTGAGAACTTTGCCGGGGGGAACCAGGCGTTTCACGCTGACCGGTAGGATCAAGCATTTCCTAATCCCTGCCCGCTGCCCTCCCAACCCTGCAAGGGGCTTTGAAATCTCAGTGGCTGTGAGCCCTCCTGGGCAGCCCCCACCCCCGCCCCCCTCCAGGCGCCCCTCCCCCAGTCTGGGACAGGCTCCCCAGGGCTGACTCAGGGTCCTGCAGTGTTAGTCACTTTCACTTATAGCTGCAGAATCAGAGGCCAGGGATGAGGATCGGGTCTCCGGCAGGACACTGAGTTACCTCGCAGAGGGCACGGGCACCCAGGCAGGACTCAACCCAGGAGCTCCCCAGGCCCTCCACTGCTACTCCCCAACTCAATAGCCAGGGGTGAGAGGCGGCCAGCCTCCTGCAACACGGTGCCCCTCCTGCGCCCCCTACTCGGGGCTGAGGACCTGCTGCTCATTACCTGTTTATTTATTTGTTTTAAAATCATGGGATAAATCATACATGCTGAGGAGGCTGGGTGGTGCAAGCAGTTTGCGATCAGCTGGTAACTTAAAGGTGGGCAGTTCAAACCCATGCAGTGGCTCCATGGAAGAAAGACCTGGCAAACTTCTCCCATAAAGATTACAGCCAAGAAAACCCTACAGAGCAGTTCTACTCTGTAACACATGGGGTCGCTGTGAGTCAGGGGTTGACTCAAAAGTAGCTAACAAGAATACTGTACTTTACACATGCTAAAGAGTACATAAAATGGATCTGCTTCCTTTAAAGAATTGTTATAGTGAAAACCTGTATAACCACCAGTCAGGGCAAGCAATGAAACATCATTAGCACCCCGGAAGCCAGCACAATCACATACATCCCTGCCCCTCGGCCTAGAGGCAGCCCCTCTCCTGACTTTTGAGATAACCTGTGCATGCTTTCCTCTACAGTCTCACCACCTATGAATGCACCTTGATGAAGATAGCTTGGTTTGGCCTGTTTCTGAGTTTAACGTAGCCGTAATTACACCATCGGCACTTCTGTGTGTCTTGCTTTTTTTGCTCACCCTCATATCTGGAAGATCATCTGCGTTATCTATTGTGTGTGGCTGAAGTTTGTTCGTTTTAGTCCATATTTTACTTTACAGTTGCATAGCTACTCCACAGTTATGACTCGTTCCACCGTTGACGGATAGTTGTTTTTCCCCAGATTTTGGCTATTATAAACCCTATGTCTCCCGGGACACATATGTGAGAATTTCTCTCCGTGTGTGTGTGTGTTTCCAGGAAAGGAACTGCTGGGTTGTAGGGTATGCACATTTTCAACTTTGTTAGATACTGTCTACTTTTTCCAGAATGGTTGTTCCAGTACGCACTCCCACCAGCCATGACAGGTCTTGTTGCTCCACTTCCTCCCCGACACATTGTATTATCAGGCTTTTAAATTATTACCAGACTTAAAGTTTTACTGAATGAAGGAATAAATCAATGAATCAGTGATGAAAAATATGGTCATACCTGCCTCATGTCCCCCACTGCAAATGCCCACACCCGTGTTTTACTTCAAAGAGTCTAGAAGTTTCCGAGGGCTGTCCTCCTCCAGGGTCTTTTCAGGATCTGCCTTATGACTTCACTACACTCGCTAGGGCTAGCAGACTGTACACCGAGTTCTCTGTGATTGATGGGAACACTGAGGCCCAGAGCAGGGAAAGAGAGGGCCGGGGTCTTGAACACTCACCAACAGAATCAGTACTCAGAAGTCTTCTGACTTGGAGTCCCATTGCTGAAGGGTTGTTCTCCAGCCAATCCTGCCTTAAAACAAACAAACAAACAAACCCATTACTGTGAAGTCAATTCCAACTCATAGGACAGAGTAGAACTGTCCCATAGGGTTTTCAAGGAGAGGCTGGTGGATTTGAACTGCTGACCTTTCAGTTAGCAGCCGAGCTCTTTAACCACTATACCACCAGGGCTCTAACCCTGCCTTGAGCATCCCAATTTCCCCCGCTCTGTGGTGCCCTCAACCTCACAAAACACGAGAGAGAGTCCCCAGGAAAGGTGGGGGTGGGGGAGTAAGGGACCCCGAGGCAAACCTGGGAGTGCCCCTCAGAGAGGGCTGTGTCAGAGTGCCTGAGCCCTGCATCCAGTCTGCGAAGCCACGGACACAGGTGACCCCATAGAAGCCAAACATACCCAGCCTGATCTGGGCTCGTTTTTTAGATGAGTGCTGTCCCCCGTTACACTGACCCCTGGCACAGACCCCCAGCCATGTCCCATCTTACTCATCTGTGCCCTCCCCCAAGCTGGGCACCAACACTCTGGCTGCCAAGACCCAACTGGGTGATGGAGGAGGGAGTGTGCTCCTCCAGGGGCCCTGTAGTTCCTCCCCCAGAGCTATTCCTGGCCTAGCTGCCTCCCCATCCCCCAGTCCCCCTGCCTGACCTGACCCCACAGCTGGGAATAATTTGGCTGGGGGTGGGGCAGCCCCTGACTATATATGCCTGGACCTAGGTGTCCCGGCACCCCGGAGGCCCAGATCCTCCACTGCCGACCCCTGTACACTGCCGCCTGACCCTCAGTCAACCCAGCAATGACAGGAAAAGCCACCTCCGAGGCCCCCGCCAGTGGTCCAGAGGAATCAGCTTCTGAGCCTGCCAAGGTGCCCACCCCAGAGGCCTCCGGAGAAATGGCAGCACTGGAGCCCCCCAGGGAGGAGCAGGCTCCCCAGCCACAGGAGCCTGTCGCCGAGGCACCTGCCCCAGCTGCCCCCACGGCTGCTAAGCCTGCACCCCCAAGCGAAGGTGACGAGAGATGGGGCAGGTGGAGGAGGGAAGGCAGCCATGGCAGGGAGTCGGGGAGGTCTGCACCATGAGCCCTTTGTCTCACTCTGGCTTTTCCCCCAGATGTTCCCAGTGCCCCACTGCAGCTGACCATGGAGGATGTGAGCGACAGCTCGGTGACTGTGAGCTGGGAACCCCCGGAGAAGCTCGGGAGGCTGGGGCTGCGGGGCTATGTGCTGGAGGTCTGCCAAGAGGGAGGTGCGTTCTGGGCTAAGCCCTGCAAACACCCAGGGGAGATGGGCTTGAGGGGTGCAGGGACACGTCCACACACCCTGCAGTTGGTCGGTCTGGGGGTGATACAGAAGGTGGTCCCTTTGCTCCACCCAGGAACAGATTATCCAATAAGCAAGTTACACACCGGCTTACTTGTATTTACTTACTAATCTGTAGTGCACAATTTCACCTGTTTTTCTTCACAGTAAAGATGTGGTGAAACCCATGTGAAACTGTGCACTACAGACTAGTAAGTAATCACAAGTAAATCTGCACATTTTGCTTAATATAAGCTCATGCGTACCTTGCTTACTGGTTAATCTGCTCCCGCTCCACCAATGTATTTTGAAAGCCAGGGGGATGTCCAAAATGACCTCAGGAGGCCCCTGGTCCTCCAGCTCCTGGGAGCCTCTGAGTGACAGAGACAGAAGGGCCGGGGACACTGGGGCTCTGCTCTGATGAGAAGTTAAGGAGGAGCTGAATCTCAGAGCACCCTGCTTAGGGAGGACAAGGCGTAGATGGAGCGCAGAGAAGCTAGAGGGGGGAAAGACAAAGTGACAGGCAGTGAGGAGAAAGGGGGGCCCTCTGGCCAAATTACTGTTGCCACTGCCCACGTCCATGGCAGCCAGGTTCAGCCTGGCCTCTTGCCTCTGCCCCTACCTTGCTGTGTGCCTTTGCAAATGCATCTAATCCTCTCTGGGCTTCAGCAGCCCCATTTTGGCCATGTTTCCAGGGTGTAGCTGGGATCTAAGATCAGGTCCCTTTGATGCCACTTGACAGTGATAAAGCAAAGAACGGATCACCAGCAAGAAGGGAAGCCTTGTTAGAAGGGGCCCGGGGCCTGGTGCCCATGACCACGCAGCCCAAGACCTCACACTCTCTCCATTTCTCTCAGCCTCGGAGTGGGTGCCTGTGAACGACTGGCCCATGATGGTGACCCAGCAGACCATGCGGAACCTCACTCTGGGAGACAAATTCTTCCTGCGTGTGGCTGCGGTCAGCTCTGCGGGGGTCGGCCCGCCGGCTGTGTTGGACCAGCCTATCCACATCCAAGAGATCATTGGTAAAAGCCTGTCCTTTCGCCTCCTGCTCCCCAGCCCTTCCCAGACACCTTAACTTATGGATGGAGAAACTGAGGCCAACTGGGCAGCCATTCCCTTATCCCACACTCACATGAACAAGCCCCATGCTCTCCCCATCTTGCCTTAAGAAAGTCCCAGGTGCCCCAGCAGTAAGCGGCCTCTAGAGGTCAAAGGGGCCATTTCTACGAGTGGTCAAGCCCCCAAACATTGTGGGAGGGGCTTCCTGACCCCCAGAAATGAAAGCTCAAGCACCCCAGGACATCAGACTCAGGGTCCCAGTGCTAAGAGTCCGCTCTTCCTCCTACCTGATCTTAATCTCTCCAGCAGCCATGGAAACTCATTTTCTAGCTATTTGCTGCTCATTTGCTATGGCCTGAGATCCAGATTCACCCAACACAGGGAAGAATTTGCTCACCCCTTGTTGCACCGTGTCCCTGATGGGAGGAAGAAGAAGGCCTGCAAAAGGCCTGTGAAGGCTTCCCCATCCCCAGAGGGCAGGGCCACGCTGGAGACCCGAGAGGCCAGCTGCTGCCCCAGTTGCTAATATTTCTATTTGCAGGGTGCATTAGCCGAAGTCCTACCCCTGTCCCCTCCCAGGGCTGATCAGGTTTCAATCTGTTAATGGCAGTGAGTCATTTGGTCTGATCTGAGGTCTCTGGGGACAGCCCAGGGCCCCAGGGTGAAGAGAGACACAGGCAAGCAGATGGCCTGAGACCTTCTCCACCTTCCTTCTTGCTCCCCCACCAAGGGGACGGATGGTTCCTGGCAGAGGCTAGGGCAGATCCCCACAGCTCTGGGCAAGGACTGCAGAGAGGGGGAGCTTCACGGCCACAGGAGGCGTCAAGTTTGGATTCAAGAAAATCTCTCTCAACTCTGAGGCCTGAGAGACGTGGGAACCATTGAGTTAGGGATCTTAGAATTGTAGACTATCACAGCTGGTCCATCCGAGCCAAGCACCTCATCTTACAGGTGAAGAAACATACCCCATGGGACCCAGGGGATCCCTGAAGGTCACCTAGCCTGTGAGTGGCAGAACCTGACTCCCATTCAAGACCATTCATGCCCACCTCTAGCTCCCCAGGCCTTGGTGCAGTCTCTTCTGGTTTTCAAACCCAAGAACATTTCTACACTTTGGGTCTGGGTGAGGCCCAGCCACACCTGGCAACTTCATTATGGGCAGATTAACTCTGGGTTGGGAGGGTCCTGGGCCCTTTCATCAGAGGCCCCAGGCTGAAGAAGTCAACCAGCCCCTGCATCCACTCCTCCATTAAAATTCTTCTGGCAGAAGAGAGGGGGATTTCCTGGAGAGAAGAGGGGGAGGAGGCCGTGAGCAAGCGGGCAACAGCCAGGCCCTCCTCATGGGCAGGGCAGGGCAGGGTGGGGGCTGTGTCCAGAATCCTCAGCTGCTCAGCTGTCAGTCCTCGGCCACCTGGAGCTGCCAAGCATTCCTGGCCCCCTGCAGCTGCCCCTGGAGCATTCCACGCCTGACACTTCCAAAGCCAAGTGCCTGCACATCTAATCCTCGGAGACACAGTGTTCCTTCTCATGTCTCCTCCTCCTCCGTCCTGCGTGCCAACTGCTGCCACCTGTTTGCCACTAAGGAGCCTCAGTCCCCAGCCCCAGCCCCAGTCCCTGTCTGGGGAGGGGCTGGGGACAGGGCAGTGGCAGCTACAGCTTCCCTTGGAATGCCCTGCGGCTCCAGTGGTCACACCTGATTAGGTGATGGTCAGGAAATAGGCTCCCTACCATAGCAGGAAGACTTCAGGAAGGACTTCTCAACTGGGAGATTGAAAGGCTGTGGGAGGGGTGACAGAGGAAGAGGCAGTATCCCTGCTCTGGCCTCATTTAAGGACAGATCCTAATCCAACATGATCTGGAGACAGAGGAATGGGTGACAGGGTCTTGCGGGGGCTTCTCTGAAGCTCGTGGGGCACGGGGTGGGAGGGGTGGGGATGGGGTTGCTCCTGGATTAGGCGGAAGCCAGCATTGCCTCCCTGCCCCAGGAGTGCAGTCCCGACAGGTGCAGCACCTGTTCCCCACCAGGGGGAGCTAGGGAGCCACTCAGGCCCATTTGGAGCTTGGGAATGCCAGGGCTGCGGGGCAAATCCCAGCCTGGCAGGGTGGAGGCGCCAAGGGAATGCACGAGATGCTTACCAGTTCACACCAGCATGGAGGCCATGCCCTCCTGGGACCTCCTGGCTCTTCGCTCCCCAAGGACCTTCAGGGATTCAGGCCCCTGGATCTCAAGAGTGAGCTTTGCCCTTCTCACAAGGAGGCAGCCCCAGATGGCCAAACACACTCAGAGGCCCTCCTGCCAGGCTAACAGCCCTCAACAGCTGCCCCCTCCCCCTGACTCCGAAGCCCCCAACCAGATACCCCTCTGCTGTGCTAAGTCTAGACTCTGACTTTGATGCAGAGGCCCCCAAGATCCGTGTTCCCCGCCACCTTCGTCAGACCTACATCCGCCAGGTGGGAGAGGCGGTCAACCTGCAAATCCCATTCCAGGTGGGTGAGCCTCCTGCCCACAGTGAGTGCCTGCCTCCTGGGTGGAAATAAGGGCCCCCATCTGAGGTATGTCGGGGGGCCAGGAAAGGTCGGGATCCCCATAGGTGTCCGCTGGAGATCCATCGAGACCGCCTCATTCTTCCCTAGCCACGCACATGACTCATTTGTGATTCTCCAGACCATGAACAGGGCGGGTGGTCAACCAGGGCTGGACACTTGTGGGGACATGGCTCTGGACACTACCTGTGATGTGCCTCTCCTGTGCCTCCTGGGAAGGGCCAGTGGGACAGGCTGCCCTGGACACAGCCTCAGAGACCCCTGGTTGGGTGGGCATGGGGTGCCAGCCCCTCCTTGCACCCAACCTGAGGGTTCCTCCCTCTCAGGGGAAGCCCAGGCCTCAGGCCTCATGGACCCACAACGGCCAGGCCCTGGACAGCCGGCAGGCCAGTGTGCGCACCGGGGACCAAGACTCCATCCTCTTCATCCGTGAGGCCCAGCGCTCCAACTCAGGCCGCTACGAGCTTACCTTGCAGCTGAAAGGCCTGGAGGCCAAGGCGGCCATTGACATCCTAGTGATCGGTATGGTGCCGGGGAGGGAAGGCTGCCTCACTGGGGAGCCCCCACCTCCTAGCCCAGTGCTGAGGGCTGATGGGACCATGCCAGAGGAGTGTGACAGAAGCCCAGTCTTGGGGGTGGAAGCTTCGTGGCAAGGCCCACCCTCACCCACTCTCCTCCTCACACTCTGGTCCTGCAGAGCCACCTGGCCCTCCCAGCAGCATCAGGCTACTGGACGTCTGGGGCTGCAACGCTGCCCTTGAGTGGATGCCGCCCCGGGACACGGGCAACACAGAGCTTCTGGGCTACACTGTGCAGAAGGCAGACAAAAAGACAGGGGTGAGGCCGGCCGTGGTGGAGGCTGGGGTGCTGAGTGGGGTCGGAGGACTGAGTCTAGGGACCTAGTCCCAGTCTAACTTTCCCTAACCTGACTCCCTGTGTGGTTTTCAACAAGACCCTTTCCCTCTCTGGGCCTCAGTTTCCTCATCAAGACTGCAAAGGCAGCTGGCCTGGGCTCTCAGGGGCCTTTCAACCTCCCCTCGTTAGTCGTCATCAAGTCGATTCCAACTCATGGCGACCCCATGAGTGCAGAGTAGAACTGCTCCTTAGGATTTTCAAGGCTGTGACATTTCAGAAGCAGATAGCCAGGGCTGTCTTCCGAGGTGCCTCTGGGTGGGTTCCAACCACCAACCTTTTGGTTAGTAGTCAAGTGCTTAACCATTTACATCAACCATTTGAGCCACTGCTCTAGACCAGGGCCTCTCAAACCTTCAAGTGCAGCTGAATCACCTGGGGGGCTTGTTGAAATACAGATTCTGATTCAGTAGGTCCAGGGTGGGGGCTGAGATCCTGCATTTCTAACAAGCTCCCAGGTGACGCTGAGGTTGCAGGTCCATTGGCTACACTTTGAGTTGCCGTCCAGTCAATTCTGACCGATAGGAACCCTATAGGACAGAGTAGAACTGCCCCCATAGGGTTTCCAAGGCTGTAACCTTTACAGAAGCAGACTGCCACATCTTTCTCCCAAGGAGCTGATGGGTTCGAACCGCTGACCTTTTGGTTAGCAGTTGAGCACTTAACCACTGCCCCACCGGGCTCCCTTCGAGTAGTAAGGCTCTAAAATTCTGAGAACTTGCAGACAGGTCATCTGAGTGAGCCAGCAGCCCCTCCTCCCGATTTAAATTCCCTGAGGGCCAAAGCTGGACAGCTCAGCCACCCAGGGTTGTGAGGGGGTGGTGATGGAATGGCCCCTCTGAGGAAGGGGCTGCCAGGTCAGCAGGGAGGTGAGGCTGATGGGATGGGGTCCCGCAGCAATGGTTCACGGTGCTGGAGCGCTACCACCCGACCACCTGTACCATCTCCAACCTCATCGTTGGCAACACGTACTCCTTCCGGGTCTTCGCAGAAAACCAGTGTGGACTCAGCGCCTCCGCCGCCGTCACCAAGGAGCTCGCCCACATCAAGAAGGCAGGTGGGTCTGGGCCCCGACGGGAAACGGAGCCAGGGCTGGCCACGCCGCCTCCCCGCTGTCTTCTCTCTTCCACCCCTCTCTCTGGCCTGTTTGTGGCGCCTTCGCCCGGGAACATGTGCTGCATTTCCCACGCCCACTCCACAGCTCTGCACGCAGGCACATTGGCACTGTAACGTAACGGATGTGGCGGATTGATTTTCACAAACACATCAGAGCAAACCGTGAGCCGAGTGGCGCCCCTCGGGAGGCCGTGTACTTATTCTAAAGATGCTTGCCAACATCTTAGTGGTCACTGGGTCTCATGCGCAGCGTCCCAAGGGAACTCTGAAGGGCAGTGTGCACGTGGAGAGTTGGACGCTGGCTAGTTTGCTAAAATCCCGACCCTCACAGCCCTAATAGAACACCACACAGATGGACAGAGATAAGGGTGTTTACTGACCCTGCCCAGGCGCCTGACCGACCCTTTTGCGTCACATGTTAACTCCCGAGTCCTCTTGCCCCCCACCCGCCATCACCCCTGTGCTACCAGACCCTCCCCAACTCAGAGTCTGGGGTGACTCAGGAAGGCACACTCTCTTTTAACACCAGCCTGGGCTGCACAGAATTAAGAAGAAAATGTTGTTTAAAAAAGGAAAGCCAGCAATGTCTCCAAAGACAAAAATGAAATATCTGATCTCCAAGTTGCTGGTCTCCACCCTCTGCTGAGATCATCTCATCTCACCTCTCTGACCCACCGAAGCACAGTCTCTGCTGTCTTTGAAACGATGCCTCTTTGAGACTGTCTTTCGCTTTGTTGTCGCTAGTTGCCATCAGTTGCGACTCAGGGCAACCCCATATGTGCAAAGTAGAACTGCTCCATGGAGTTTCAAGGCTGTGACTTTCAGAAGCAGATCACCAGGCTTAGCTCTTGAGGTACCTCTGGACGGTTCTGAACTGCCAACGTTTTTGTTAGTAGTCAAGTGCCTAACATTTGTGCCACCCAGGGAACGAGTTTCTCTAAGTTCCCACAAATTGGCCATGCTGTGCTTCCCAAGTAGTCCCTGGGTGGTGTAAATGGTTAACACGCTCCACTGCTAACCAAAAGGTTGGAGGTTCGAGTCCACCCAGAGGTAACTCAGAAGAAAGGCCTAGTGATTTACTTCCCAAAAATCAACCATAAAAATCCTACAGAGCATAGTTCTACTCTGACACACATGGGGTCGCTCTGAGTCAGAGTCGACTCCATGGCAACTGGTTGGTTGCTTCCCAAAGATCCCAGGAACCTGGTGTCCTGCCGCTGTACTCCAGAGGAGGGGGGCAAGGATGCAATTGATCATCCCCTGCCCTACATGATGCTAAGATCTTCCTCAGACCACCAGCTCTCTGCCCAGATAGCCACAATCCTCATGTGACCTCCCATCCCTCAAGCCCCAAACTCACTAAGTGATATTGGGCAAGGTACTCACCCACTAAGGGCCTTAGTTTCTCATCTATCAGATGATGACAGCAAAATTTAGAGGCCTGCTGTGCAGATTCGGTGATATATAGATGTAAGCTATATAGGAAATGGATGAGGCTGGTCCTAAGAGGCCTCCTCCACTCCTGTAGCCCCAAATTCACTATTTGACCCCACTTTCTCCCCTGAACCCAGATATCGCTGCCAAATCTAAAGGGTTTACTGAGCGAGACTTTTCAGAAGCCCCCTCGTTCACCCAGCCCCTGGCTGACCACACCTCCACCCCTGGCTACAGCACTCAGCTGTTCTGCAGCGTCCGAGCATCACCCAAGGTGAGGGGGCCAGACTCGCGGTGCCCTGGGCTGGTGGGGTCGTTGGGGCAGCGGGTGAAGGACCCCTCCCAGACATCTCCACCTAAGTCTGAAACTTCAAGTGCCCAGTCCCAGCTCACAACCTTCCCAGCTCTCTTCTCTGTTCTCCCAGCCCAAGATCATTTGGATGAAAAACAAGATGGACATCCAGGGGGACCCCAGATACCGTGCCCTCTCTGAGCAAGGTGTCTGCACCCTGGAGATCCGCAAGCCCAGCCCTTTCGATTCTGGCGTCTACACCTGCAAGGCCATCAACGTGCTGGGGGAGGCATCTGTGGACTGCCACCTGGAGGTCAAAGGTGAGGGCTGGAGGAGGGTCTCTTCTCAGGGACCCTCCCATGGACAGGAGAACAGGAGGCACCACGTTTGGAAGGTGGACTAGACAGGGCTGAGCACTGAAAACCAAGGCACAACAGACGGACTAGTACAGATGGAAGTCAGGCTGTCCGAAGGACTTCCAAGTGCGGGCATAGCCCAGCGTGGGGAAGAAGGTAGTGAAGTCGGCCATGGGGACTGATAAATGGCCTGGGTGAGGGCATGTCATCGTGACCCTGTCTTATTCCCCTGCCCCCACCCCACGGGGCCCTGAGCCCTAACCTGCAGATCTCTTACAGCATCAGCCACGCACTGAAGAGTGACTGGAGGTGGCTATGATGAGGAGAAAGGTAGGTGACTGGACCACCCTCTCTGCTCCCTCTGGGGGTGGTTCCGAGGCAGAGAGGAGGCCCGCAAACTGGGGCTGGGGGAAGCCGTGGGACTCAGATCCAGGTACAAGTCACAGAAAACTAACACACGCGCAGCTTTGGGCGTGCTGCCGAGACATGCGGGGGACGCTGCGGAGCCGGGGACGCTGCGGAGCCGGCGACCCTGGTGAGGCCTGGCAGGGGGGTGGCTCAGTGGATTGCGAGACAGGGGTCTAGTCCTGACTCTGAGTGACCTGGGACAAGGGCCACTCACCAGAACAGGGGACAGCCACCCCTGCCAGCCTCTCTTCCCTGGGGCTCTGAGGCTCTGGAGCAGGAAGGAAGTATCCTGGACCTGAGGAGGCAGAGCTCAGGCCTGGACACTGGGCCCCTGTGGGGGCCTAGGAAGAGAAGAGGGGTGCTACCCTCCCTTCCCTCATCTGCACCTCTTCCGGCAGGGCATGTGTAGCCCAGCTCCGCCTGACTCGAGGGACTCAGAAGACGTGTTCTCTGTCAGGTGCTGCAGGCCTGAGGGGCCCAGCCTCTGAGGCCCAGGATCAAACTCCACAGATGCCCATGATGCCCATTTCCATAGCGATGGCTGATGGAACAGCTCCCCGTACCAGCCTGGCCTCCTTCCCCACAGGCTGGAGCCCGGTACCCAGGAGTGGGCCTGGCAGGTGCTGGCCAGGCTTCACTGGCACAAGGGGGGCCTGGAAGGTGCCAAGATCAGAGGACCCCGACAGAGGGCTGCACGCTGGCGAGAAGCGCTCCAATAAAGATGTGTGGTGTACAGCGCGGGGGCCTCTGTGACAGGGAGCATCATTGCAAGGGGGGAGGCACGGTGAGGCGGATGTCGAATGTGTCATCCTGAGGAAGGTGCCAGTGGGAAGGGTCTCAGATGTCATGAGGGTTTTCCTGACATGCTGTGATTTTCAGGATCTTGCTACCCCGAGTGTATCACTATAGGAACTGACACCCCTCTTGAACCTTCCTAGCTCCGAACGCCTCCACATCCCCCCTTCCCCAGCACCTCCCCTGTCCCCCACCAGGGCTGCTTCTCTGCCGGGGTGGGTGGCGGTAGCCAGCACTGTGCTCTTCTTGAAGGTTCACAGTCTTTATTAGTCACACGGCCCCCCACGGGAGCCAGGGGAGACCCCAGCTCTGAGAGGAAAAGACCTGGAATTCACACTCAGGACCCAGTCGCCGTGACAACCATGCCCCCCCACCCTCCTGTATACAGGACGCTCCAGGCTTGCAGGGGTGGGCTGAGCCTTCCCCAGATGTCCTAAAGGCCCAGACTCTGCAAGTGCTCTTCTGATGCCCCTGAAAACTGTGCTAAATGCCAGGAGCACCAAGTGCCAGCAAGACCTCCCGGGTGGTCTCCTCTGGGCTGGGCTAGTCTGTCACACCTCATCCCAGGGGTGCCTCCGGTCAGCACTGGGCACCTCTGGAGGCAGACCTTCCCACTCGTGCACCCCCTCCCCAGGCAGGCAGAATGTTCCAAGATTGGCATGTGTGGGAGGCTCCTCTCCATTTGGCCGGAGGAAGCAGAGATGGGTGTCCCCTAAGAGAGTCCAGGCCCGTCATGGGGCTGGTGGAGCTGAGATGGCTGGTAGTTACACTCCAGGCACCTCCTTGGGACACTCAGGGCAAGAATGAGGGCTCAGTGCTGCCACCTGGTGGCTTTCTGAGGCCTGCATCCACCTCTCTACACTCTCCAGAACTAGAAGAGGGACCTTCCGGGCACCACTTCAAGTACCCACTCAGGGTCCAAGAGCTGGTGGAGAATAAAGCAAATGTTGGAAATGATTTCTGGACCCACTCTTTCTGCCACTCCATAGTCCAATTCTGGGCCCCTTCAGAGTGAGGAGAGCAGGCACCCAGCAGGGTGGGGAGCTGAGTAATTGGAGGTGGGGACTGAGTTCCTTGTCTCCTGCCCGTTTGCTGTTTCTGGCCACCTTCTCCTACAGAACAGGAGAGACAGCAAGGCCAAGACCTCCCCCCACCCCGTTCCCTCCATCTTGGAGGGAATCCTCTCCTTAAGCTTGGTTCCCAGGGCTGCACCACCAACACCCCAGCACCCTCTCCCCATCCAGATGGCCCCTTTACAGCCTCAGCCTCCCCGGGGCCTGCCTGGCCCTGAAGCCCTGGACTACTCATGGGTCAGGCAGGTGGGGAGGCTCAAGCCACCTTCTTCCTCCCCCCGGGGTGCCTGGCTCCTTCCCCAGGTCTGCACTTCCTCCAGGACCCAGAGGTGCAGGGCAATTACTAGCTCCTTGTAGAAGGTCCCCTGCGCCGTGGGCATCTTTCAGCACCCCCCTGCACCCACACCCCACAGCCCAGCTGGGGAAGGCTCAGGGGGTCAAGTGGGAGAGTGGGGAGGTGGGAACCAGGCTGAGACTCACTGGATGTGGGGCTGGTGGGGGCAGGAGGTGCAGTCTAGTCACCTGGCCTCTCTTCAGGGAGGTCCTCCTCAATGGGGGGTACAGGCTGGCAGCGGAAATGGTCGTTCCAAATCTTAAGGAAGGTGACCCGGAACTTCTGGATACGGAAGGCATAGACTATGGGGTTCATGGCCGAGTTGCCGTGGGTGAGGAAGATGGCAATGTAAATGAGGACGCTGGGCTTGTGGCAGGAAGGGCAGAAGAGGGTGACGCAGTTCAGGATGTGCAGGGGCAGCCAACTGAGGGCGAAGAGGAAGAGGATGAGGGCCAGAGACTTGGCGATCTTCAGCTCCTTCCCATAGTACTTCTGCGGGTCGCCAGAGGAGGCCGACACCTTCTTGTTGAGCTGCCTGCGGATCAGGTAGAAGACCTCCAGGTAGATGAGGACCATGAGGAGCAGCGGGGGCAGCACCCAGACGAAGAAGTTGAAGTAGACCATGTACTCCATGCTGATGACCTTCTCAAACTCACACTTGATCACGGGCTCACCCACACTGCCGTTTGCCAACCAGTCCTGTTTCACCTTGCTCAGGTTGTTCCAGCCGAACACAGGGGTCAGGCCCACCACAAAGGAGAGGATCCAGCAGCCAGCAATGGCCACGGCGGCCTTCTGGGGGGTCACCACCGTCTTGTACCTGAGGGAGAGGAGGACAGTGTGAGAGCAGCTCCCCCAACCCCTGTGGGTCTCTAGGAGGAGGCCCTCCCCACCCAGGGCCCCCTGAATGGGGAGGCACATGTCTTTTCTAGAGGCCTGAGTCTTCAGGATCTAAGACTTAGGCCAGATCTTGCAATGCCTTGGTTCATTTCTCCTGCAGAGGAAGGAAACCTGGTTAGGGATAACAAAAACAGTAACAGAAAATAACAAGGATCTCCTTTAGGAGTTTTAATAAACCTCCAACTCATGGTGACTTCGTGTGTGTCAGAGTAAAACTGTGCTCCTTAGGGTTTCCACTGGCTGATTTTTCAGAAGTAGATCACTAGGTCTTTCTTCCGAGGTGCCTCTGGGTGGACTTGAACTGCCAACCTTTCAGTTAGCAGCCAAGCATGTTAACTGTTGGCACTATCCCAAAACCCAAACCCAAATTCACTGCAGTCGAGTCAATTCTAACTCATAGTGACACTATAGGACAGCGTAGAACTGCTGCATAGGGTTTCCAAGGCTGTAAATCTTTACGGACGCAGATCACCACATCTTTCTCCCTAGGAGCAGTTAGTGGGTTCAAACCACCAACCTTTTGGTTAGCACCAGAGCACTTAACTACCGTGCCACCCAAAATTGCTCACAGGTGTTCGGCCCATCCCCACCAGGTATCATCATCACCTCACTGGGGTAGGAAGGCATTGGCAGAATGAGTGCCCGTTTGACAGATGAGGAGACTAAGGTCCAAACAGTCAAATGATCTGCCCAAGGCCACACAGAAGATGGCAGCTCTGTCCAGTGCTTCCCAACACATGTCTGCACGGACCCAAACAGCCAGGTGATTAACAACCACCCCTTCCTTTATTTAGGCCACTGACACAACTGTCATAACTTGCCCACAACTCCCCTTCTTTTGGCCCCGGCCCATACTCCTCTGCCACCGTGCCATCTAACACTTCCATCTTTACCCTCCTACCCCTTCTAATCACCGGACAGTGCCTGTCTCCTGAGGGGCTGATCTCAAGGACACTAGGAACCAGCTCTGCAACCGCCAGCGAGTTGGGAATGATTCTCAGGGAAGAAAACTGCTGTTCATTGAGCATTGATTACATGTTAGACGCTTTCATTCATTCACTCGTGCATGCATTTATGCATTCATCCCACAAACATTTATGGAGTGCTTTCCGCACCAGGCATTGCTCTCCCTGTTGGGAATAAGATGAAAGATCCCTGCCTTTATGTAGCTTTTCTTTTGGGAGAAGAGACGATAACACTTTAAAAGAAAGGAAATAAACCAGGCAATTAGATGGACGTGTGTACTTTGAAGGAAATAAACAGGATAATGTCTAGGAGCAGAGCTTTCCACCCTTTGGAAAACATTTGTACAGCACACAGTAAATAGGCAAGGCTGCCCGTGGGCCAGAAGGGACCGACCACGGAGCTAGGCCCTGCCTGCCTCCCCCTTACCCCACCGAGGGCTGAGGGTTTCAGTATCTCTGGGCTCCCCTCTTCCTTTAAATCAAACCGGCCCACAGACACCGCATCCTGTGCCCACGCGCTGCCTTGGTGTGAGTGTGCAGGCTGGGGCCTGACCAGCTCTGCTGAGGCAATGGCTCAGCGGCCGCAGCCTCCCCAGTTGTGTTTTTCCAATGCAGCTTCTGAGATGGATGGGGCGCCCTCCTGAGCACGTCAACAGCTCCTGAGGCCCGCGGTGTGCAGGGAGAGGCCCCGACTATCTGTTGTTCTGCCGCTTTCTCCTTCACTGATGATTCTCAGGGGCCCTCTCACCCCTCACCCTGGACAAAATTTCTGCTAGATCCCTCATCAAAGCCCACCTGCTCCGTGAAGGCTTTACAGGGATGGTAAGCAGAACCGTCTGAAGGGTGGAGAAACCAGCCATCTTCCGACCCACCCCACAGAGAAGACAAGCACTAGAAGGGACTTGGGAACCTCATTTCTGATCTCGTCATCATTCCACGGGGAAACTGAGGGCCCCAGCTAACTCCAGCCCCTTCTTTGTGACGCTCCTCCCCCACTCGTGATCATAGGATCCTTGTGTCCCCAAACCACCAGGGAGCCTGGAAAGCTGGCCAGTTCGCTTGTGCCTCACTGAACTCCTTCCTTAAAAAAATCCTCATCCTCACCCTCTTGCTGTGACTGAAGCCCATTCCCTACCGTTGGGTCCTCAGCAGAATAGCCAGGGTCTGGTGGAGCCTGAGTGGTGCGAGTGGTTTGCCATCGGCTGCTAACTTAAAGGTTGGCAGTTCGAGCCCACCCAGCCAAGAAAACCCCCATGGAGCAGTTCTACTCTGTAACACACAGGGTTACCATGGGAAGGAATAGACTCAACAGCAACAGGTTTGGGGGTTTTTTGGGTGCATACACAGCCAGTCAGAAGACCTGAATTTAGGCTCCACATCTGCAACCTAATAGATGAACTGCTTGGCTGTGAAATGAGACAGTGGGACCAGCTTCAGAGGGTGAAGACCAAATGTGATAACATATATTAAAATGTTCTGTAAACACCTTATCAGTGTTGTTGTTGTTGGGTGCCGTCGAGTCAATTCTGACTCGTAGTAGCCTCATGTGACAAAACACAACTGCCTCGCCATCAACAGATGAATAGATAAACAAACTATGGTACACACACACAATGGAGTACTGTGCAACGATAAGAACAATGGTCAATCTGCGAAGCATCTCATAACATGGATAAAACTGGAGGACATTATGCTGAGTGAAATAAGTCAATCACAAAAGGACAAATATTCTATGAGACCTCTATTGTAAAAACCCATGAAAAAGTTTACACACAAAAAGTAACAATCTTTGCTGGTTACGAGTGATTGGAGGGGTAGGGGGGGAATACTAAATAGATAATAGATAAGTGGTAACTTTGGTGAAGGGTAAGACAGTACACAATACTGGGGAAACCAGCACAACTTGTACAAGGAAAGGTCATGGAAGCTCCATAGACGCATCCAAACTCCCTGAGGGACTGAATTGCTAGGCAGAGGGCTGTGGGGACCATGGTCTC